CCGCCGTATTTTTCAGAAAATAGAGTTAGCCTTCGTGTGAAATGTATTCACAAACGTTTCGAAGTGACATTCGGCAGGTTCCATGATTTTTGCAAATGAAGGCGCGGCCGCGGCGAGCGCGGACGAGTCGCTAGTGCTCCCGCACCACGCGCGCGCCATTTGAACGCGGCCTTGACGCCACCCGCAATAGCGGGAGCACTGCATACTCGTCCACGCTCGCCGCGGCCTCCCTCAAAGTGTGAATAAATTCACGGAGCCAATCTGAACGACGCAAAATCCTTTCCAAAGCATTCATACGAACGCAACAAATCGAATATCTGATCGAATAGATAAATAAACTAAATAAACATAAATGTTGCATACTACACCACATATGTTTGGATAAGATAGCTAACTGATAGTAAACAAAAGCGACATTACAACAAGCAAAGCAGCAACATGCAGGAAAGGCTTGTGAACGACATCGAAGCACACACATGCAACCAAGATTGACCCAGTAGAAAGGTGCTAGCATTCATGCTGCTGAATAAAAAGTTATTAAAACAGCGAGCTCACTTTTGAAGAGCTTTTGATAGTGGGAGCAGTGGGTGCGATGAGATGGCGTCGTTGCACGATCATTGGTGGAAGGACGTTGAGAGAAGGCACCAACTACACCCTCCAGCAGGGTGAATATCGGTCGAGATTCCTCAACGGCACGTCGAGGATTTTCGCCTGATCAGTTACGCTCTCCCGCGCGGACATTCACACTCGCCATGCGCGAGCCGTCTGTGCTCTCCGCGCGTACGTTCACTCTCGGCACTACTCTCGCACAGTCAGAGCCATGGTCGAGGAATTCCTCGACCGTTATTCACCTCTGCCCTCCAGGGTGAGTCCACCTATGGTATCTAATGACGTCATCAACTGCGATGGTGTCTAATGACGTCATAATTTCCGCTCCGCCTCTCATTCACCACACCCACCTAGTTTAAAGCGGAGATGGCTGGAGGGCGCTGCGGGATTGATGACGCATTGAACGTCATTTCTGGAGGCGGTCCCGAGCACTCCCCCATGGGCGCTGAATGGTCTAGCACATCAATAACATTCAATGACGTCATCAACTGCGATGGTGTCTAATGACGTCATAATTTCCGCTCCGCCTCTCATTCACCACACCCACCTAGTTTAAAGCGGAGATGGCTGGAGGGCGCTGCGGGATTGATGACGCATTGAACGTCATTTCTGGAGGCGGTCCCGAGCACTCCCCCATGGGCGCTGAATGGTCTAGCACAT